CAACAGACCAGAGAAGCTTCATCTGAGGCTTGATGGCAGGGCTATAAGCCCAGTGGGTCTAGAGGAGAGTGTATCAAACCAAAGATTATTTTCCAGCCTTAAAAATCTAATGGTATTTGCCTTACTAGATTTTGGACTGGTTTGCGACCCATCACCCCTTTAGTCCTTTTGACTTCTCCCTTTTGGAATGAGAATGGCTATCCTATGCCTGTGCTACCACTGTATTTTGGAAGCACGTAACTTATCGGATTTCACAGGTCCACAGCTGAAGAGGAATTTTGTTTCAAGATGCATCACACTTACGCTCTCACCCACATCTGATTTAGATGATATTTACATCCTTTGGACATTGGAGCTGATGTAGAAGAGTTAATTTTTTTTAATAGTTTATTGTCAGGTTGGTTTCCATATAACACCCAGTGCTCATCACCACAAGTGCCCTCCTCCATGCCCATCAACCCCCTTCCCCTCCCTAGAAGAGTTAATTTTTGAGGCTGTTGAAATGGAATGAATGTATTTTGCCTGCAAGGAAATGAACTGGGGGGGGTGGGGCAGGTATTTTGTTACAGCAACCTGAACTAAGACAGACCACATTTTCCTTACAGTACTCTGGACTTGATTCTTGCTTAAAAGCCACTGCTAAATTTTAGCAGTGGCTGCCATCTAGAGAGACTAAAAATTTCAAAACAATCAAGTCCTGACTCCTTCTTGTTTAATAATATACTTCTCATGTTTTACTACAAGGAGCAAGAAGAAATCAGGCAGCACCTTCTGCTTAGAAACTGCCTTATGAGATCACCAGCTTCATTGGGAACATTCTCTCTTTCCACGTAATTGCTGATGACAGTGTTGCTAAACCTTGCACTACTTTATGACCAGGATCTTCTTTCCTCCAGTTTCCAATAATGCTCCTTACTTCCTTTTCAGTCTTCATTCATAGCATCTTCAAAGTTCAGATTTCTACTAAGTTTGCTCAAGATAATTTAGGCTTTCTCTAACACACTCTTCAAAATCTTTCCAGCCTCTGTCCACCGTTTGGTTCTTAGCAACTCCCGCATTATAGGTAGCTGTTATGGCAGCCTCCCACTTCTAGGCACTAAAATCTGTATTAGTTATCTATGCTGCATGACAAATTACCCCCCAAATTTAGTGCTCTAAAAACTTTTGCTAGCTCAGTTTCTGTGGGTCAGAATTTGGACACAGCTTAGCTGGGTGCCTCTTTCTGGCACAGAAGGCTGCAATCATCTCAAGGTTCAACTGAGGAAAGATCCACCCTAAGGTCATTTATATGGTCTTTGGCAGGCCTAGGATTCTCACTGGCAGTTGGCGAAAGACGTTAGTTCCTTGATATGTAGACCCCTATACTGGGCAACCATAGTGGGTTGATTAACATCCTCCCCTCCAAATTCATGTTTACATGGAACCTCAGAATCTGACCTTATTTGGATATAGCATCTTCGTAGATGTAACTAACATAAAAATCATACTAGATTAGTGTGGGCCCTAAAGCCAATGATGAGTGTCCTCATGAGAGGAGAGGACACAGGAAGAAAGCCAAGTGAAGACAGAGGCAGAGACTGGAGTAATACATTCCCTGTGGGCCAAGGAATGTTAAGGACTGCTGGGAGTCACCAGAAGCTCGAAGAGGTAAAGAAGGATCCAACCTTAGAGACTTTAGAGGGAGCATGGTCCTCCCAACACATGGATTTCAGACATCTGGCATCTAGAATTGTGAGAAAATAAATGTCTGTTGTTTTAAGCCACCCAGTTTGTGGTAATTTATTGTGAAACCCCAGGAAATGAATAAAGTAACTCACATTTGAGCTGGCATCCTTCAGAGCAAATGAAGAGAGTAAGAGAGTGCCCAAGATGAAAGCCAAAGTCTTCCTGTAATGTAATCTCAGACATGACATCCCAACATAGATCAGCCTTCAAACAGCATGAGATTATACATGATCATGGATACCAAGAGGTAGGCATCATTGATGACTATCTTAAAGGCTTCCTACCACAGTCATTTCCCCAGAAAAAAATGGAGGAAACATCTCCTTTGGGCTCTGCCTTCTCTGTTCATTGATTCCTTCAGCAAATATTTATTAAGCCCCTGCAGTGGGCTGAGTATCAAGGATGTGGCTAATAATAGATATAGATAGAATAATAGAATAATAATAATAGAATAGATAAGATTCTGCCCTTGAGATTATTTACAGTCTAGTCGGAGAAAAAACACTAAAGAATAACGAACAGTAAATATATAAATCAAAACTATGATAAGTATAAGGAAGTCAGTTATGAGACAATAGGAATATCTGAGTTAGACTGGGGGCAAGAATTAAGCATATCTTCCTGATAAAATGGTATTTAGAATGTGGTTGAAGATGGGTGCCTGGATGGCTCAGTAGGTTAAGCGTCGGACTTCAGCCCAGGTCATGATCTTGTGGTTTGTGAGTTCGAGCCACACATGGGGCTCGGTGCTGACAGCTCAGAGCCTAGACCTTACTTCGGATTCTGTCTCTCTCTCAAAAATAAACAAACATTAAAAAAAAAAAAGGAATGTGATTGAAGAATGTGTAAGAAAAAAAAGAATGTGTACAAATTAGGTTGAGTGTGTGTGTGTGTGTGTGTGTGTGTGTGTTGCGAGGGAGGGGAGACTGTTTCTGGGTAGAGGGAAAGCACATGCATAAGCTGCCAGACTCAGAATGTTGAAGGCTAGGGAACTCTCTTCTTCACCTCTGCATCTTTATTACATAGCACAGTGCCTGGCATGGAGACGCACCTGATAAATTACTACTCAATGAATGAATGAATAAATCCAAGGCACCTTCAATTTCCTAACTGTTGTGGATAATGTCAATTCATTTAGAAATTTCCTCCCAATGCTCACTACTGATCACTGTTCTTAACTGTATTAGGTACCATAGGCAAAGCTGCTATTACAAAAAGACCCAAATACATAAAAGCACAAAACAATAAATGTTTATTTATTTTCTCATATAATAGTCCTGGGTAGATATATAGATCAATGGGGGCAGATGTTTTGTACTCAGCAATCTTCCATCTTGAGGCTGTGCCTTCTCCAGAAACTTCTTATCATCTTCCAGCTGGCAGAGTAAGTAGGAGCACCTGTTGATGAATTTTCTGGGCCAAGCCTGGAAACTGCACATCTCTTCTGTACACGTTCCACTGGGGAGAGCACAGACACGTGGCCACACCCACCACTTTAGGGGGCTGAGGAATGGACTGTAGGCGTATGGCCAACAAAGAGACAGTTGGTCTGCACCGTAACTTGACTTATCCTCTGGTATATGGCACAAAACCCTCCAATTAACCTCGACAGGAAAAAAAAACCTGTGGATTCCCCACCCTAAGCTGCATCAAGCCTTTCGTTCACTGAATGGCGCCATCATCCATCCAATTACTGAAGTCAGACTCCCGGAAGTTACTCTCAGTCCATTTCTTTTTCTTACCTTCCACATCGAATGCTTCAGGAAATACTGTCAACTCTACTCCCAAAACGTATCGTAAATCCATCTACCTGATCTTTGCTGCCTCCTCCTTAGTTCAAGTATCAAATAATCTCTCATGTGGATTGTTCCAGCCACCTCTTAATAGTTCTCCACGTCTCCACTCTTGCCTGCCCATATTTCTCTATATAGCAGAAAGCTTTCAAAACATAATTTTGATCCTATCACTCTTCAGTTTAAAACCTTCCCATGACACAGAATAACATTCAAAGTCATTACTGTGACCTTAAACGTGTATGACACAGCTCTATCCACGTCTCCAACCTCATCCTTTTATCTTTTGGTCCTTCTGCTCCCTCTGCTCCAGCTACAACGAACTTTTTGCTGCTTCCTGAACATTATTCAGCTTATTTCTGCCTCAAGATTTTTGCACTTGCTGTTCCATCTGCCCAGAAATCTCCTCCTCGGATTTCCAATAGACAACTCCGTCTCATTCCTCAGAGGTCTCAGCTTCAATGTTACCTCATGGGAGACCTTCCCTGATCATCTACTAGGAAAAGTCCTCACATCAGGTTATTCTCTTACCTCAGCATCCTGTTCGTTTTCTTCTTAGCATTTATAAACCCAGTGTTTTCCCCTTGTTTATTTGCTGCTTAGCTTTTCCGAAAGTGAGATCCATTGAGCAAGGACAGGCTCTCTATTGCTTCCCAAGTGTTGAGTAGGCCTGGTGCACCCTGGAACTCAGCACGTAAGGGAACGAATGAAGAACCACCAAGCGGTGATCAGCCAAGCCAGAGGCTCCTACCAGGGCCTCCAGCGGGTTGTTGGTGTAGCGGAAGGAGCACCAATTTGGGGTCCAATTCTCACTTGATCACGTCTCAGCTACATGCAAGTGAGTTCGGTTCTCTGAGACTTAGTTACCTAATCTGCAAACGAGGGATAAGAACCTACTTACCTCACAGCGTCAAATGCTTACTTCGTGAAGAAGAAACTGATGGAGGAAGAGAGCTTTACGTAAAGTTAACCCTCCGAATGTGTTAACTATTACTATACACAACTGTTCTCTTACCTCTGGACCGGCCGGGGACTCTGTTTCCTCTTGCTCATTACGAGCCGAAACCCCCGGCTCCTTCGCGCAGTTACCGGCGGGATGACCCTTCTCCCCTGCGCCGGGAGCAGAGACAGAACCCGAAAGCCGCTCGAATCAAGCGGCGCACACCAATGGCCCCGCCCCGTCGGGGCCCGACGCGTTACGTCATCAGCGCGGCGCCTGCGCTGCGGAGGGCCCGGGGGCCTGTCCCGAGTGTGGCGCTGCTTGGGGAGGCTCTGGCGGACGCCTGCAAGTCAGTTGCGTGGTTTGGGGGCGCTCGGAAACCCCAGCGGACGTCGGCGAGGGGCGCGTGGAGCCGTGGGGGCACGGAGTCGGGCGGCGGGAGGGGCGGCCCGGAGCTCAGGCGGGGCACAGCGCCGGCGGGCGGGCGGCCGGCGGGGCTGCCCGGCGCGGGTGTCCTGGCGATGTGTGGCGCTGAAGCGGCAGCGGCAGCGGGAGCGGCAGCGGCGGCGGCGGCGGCGGCGGGCTCGGCCTTGGCTTCGCGGCGGTGCCGGCGGCGGAGACGGAGGCGCAGGTTCCTCATTAGGACCTGGCGAACCCGGGCCTAATCGGCGGCCCCGCGAGGCCTCTGCACAGCGCCCCGGACAGGGACCCTCCCCGCCTCGCCCTGCCCCGGGAGCCTGCCTCCCCGGCTGGGGATGAAGCCGGGGGGCGGCCGCGCGGGGCCCAGCACAAAAGCTTGTCCCCGGGGGCCGCCGCCGCCAGCCTAGAGCCGCCCGTCGAAGCCGAGCCGGCGCCAGGGCCCTCATCCCCGCCGGTCCCTGGGGGCGGCGGCTGCCGGTCTCCCCGAGGCCCCGGGGCGCGAGCGCCGAGCTCCGAGCTCCCTCGGCTGCGGTGGGACCGGGCACTTGCACAGCCTCCGCCGCTCCCAGCCGTAGAGGCCCCACGGAGCATGTCCGAGGAGAGCGACATGGAGAAAGCCATCAAGGTAAGGGGGAGATGCCCCCTTCCTCCCCGCTTTGTCCCTGTGGCATTTCTCTGGGCTCAGCCTCAGAAAGCGGAGAAAACTTGGAGCGAGAGATTCCAGCGACTGCCGGGTTTCGATTTTCCCGGATTCCGTGGACTGCATTTTACAGCCCTGGGGCGAATGGTTTGTGTATGTATAGGGAGGGATGTCCGACTCCCTCTTCTCTGGTTAAAGCAGGGATGTAATTTGTGCCCAGCTAAAACGGAAGGTGAGTGGCGTGAAGATGCTTTATATGAGTGGGACGGAGGGGGTCCTCCTACACTTTCGATCACTCCCCAAGTGCCGCCAGTATTTGTTTCCGGATGATCTGCTACAATACTCGGAGAGTTGGACTTTACCCATCACTCTCGATTTGCTTGAAACCGGCCTCCTGGAAACCTGCAGTTTCAGAAGGAGGTGGTCCGCCTTCTTACAAAACCCGTCTTTTGGCAAATATTGTTCTTCTGCGTTTGTTGCCTCCCCTTTTCCTCTTCCCTCTCCTCCTAGGCAGCATTTAATTTATTGAAGAAGAGCTCATGGTGTCCTGTGACTTACTGCTCTGTTAACAAAACAACAACAGAAAGCAAATATGTGTGTTTTAAAATGACCCAAATAAAACGAAGTTTTTTAAAAATCTGTTTTTCACTTTTTTTTTCTAAAATCCACAAAAAAAACAAACCAAAACACACATAAACAGGCAAACTTTGAGGTACTACTAGAGAGTTATTATCTAGCTGTAGTTTGGAAGTTAGAGTCTTGTGTAAGTTGAACACTGAAGCTTAAAGTTAGATCTGTATTATCTACTTTGCACCATTAAGTCAGAGCATTTAGGAATTTTCATTTTCTGTGGTGCCTGGCTGGCTCAGTCGGAAGAATGTGCAACTCTTGATCTTGGGGTTGTGAGTTCACACCCCACCGTGGGATTACTAAAAAATAAACCTGAAAAAAAATTTCATTTTCTCTTGAGGGACAAGGCATCCGTTGACAACTTGGAGTTATTTTCCCCCGCAGGACACAAAAAGTTACGCTTCTAACAGGTTCCCCCTGCCGCTTGGGTGTAGTAAAGTTTATAGAAATCAGTCATTCCAAAGAAACTTAACCTTTTAAAGGAGGCATGAAAATATATGCATTAAGGAAGATCAAATTTTAACACAAAAAAATGTTCCAAAAGACCGCTTTTCTTGTGTGTGTGTATGGTTTGGACTTTATTGGTTCAGGGTCATGAATCATTACCTAAAGTTACATGATGGGGTTGAATCAAAGCATATGTGGCAGAATTTTAAATCCAAGTGTTGTCTGTTTTGTGCCAGGTGCTGTCTTAGGCACTAGTGGTACAAAGCCAAACTTCTAAATGTCCCTGCTCTCATGCAGCTTATAGTCTAGATGGTGGAGTTAGGTTAACAAAAGAAAACAAAACATTGCCAGCTGGTTATAATTAAGTATAAAAAGGGCAGGGAGTGCTATATTAGAAAAAGTAGTCCGGGGAGGCCTCTGAGGAGGTGACGTTTGTGTAGAGCTCTGAAGGGAATGAGGGAGCAAACCTCCAGTGTCTTGAGGAAGGATATTCCAGGCAGTGGGAACAGCAGATACAAAAGCTCTGAGGTATGTTCAAGACTTGTGTGATCCAGGAAAGGCAAGGTGAATGCATTGGGTCAGTGCAGATTACATTTTAGAGAGGTGATAGGAAGCTAGAGCTTAGAGGGACTTGTAGACCATTATAGGCATTTTGGCTTTGATCTTGAGTAGAAGAGGAACTCTGGGGAGTTTCTAACAGAAGAGGGACTTAGTTTTAGTGGGTAAATACATAAATGGGAGGCAGTGTTACATACTGTTTACAGTAGTTTCTCTAGGTAGATTTATGGATTAAAATCTCAGCTTAGGCATTCATTAGCTGTGTCCTTGAGTAAGTTGTTTTACTTCTCTGTCCCTGAATTTGCTCATTCCTGGAAATGAGATAAAAACACCCCACAGAGTTTTTTCAGGATTTGGTGAGCAAATATATCTAAATGTGCCTACAGTAACTAACATTTAGTAAGAACTTGATGAATGTTCGCTCGTAGCAACTAAACAGTCACTTTAGAAAGTCATGATTTCTTGGTCATTATTGCCCAATCTAATTTTCTTAAAAATTTTTAGCTTTTTGGGGCGCCTGGGTGGCTTAGTCGGTTAAGCGTCCGACTTTCGCTTAGGTCATGATCTCGCGGTTCGTGGGTTCAAGTCCCGCGTCGGGCTCTGTGCTGACTGCCAGCTCAGAGCCTGGAGCCTGTTTCAGTCTGTGACTCCCTCTCTCTCTGACCCTCCCCTGCTCACGCTCTCTCTCTCTCTCCTAGAAATAAATAAAACATTAAAAATTTAAAAAAAAAAAAATTTTTAGCTTTTCTTCATGTACTTAATTGGTCACTGGTGAGTCTTCCTACGAATTTGAGTGTGTCCAACCAATACTCATAAGTAGAGTTGAAAATATCTGATCTGACAGCCAGTACTGACTAGGATGTACTCCCTTGGAAGCAAGCCAGCATCATAATAAATAAAACTTCTGGCCTGTAACATTGTACTTTATTCATTATTTTGCTTTCTTTAGGATGTCCCTCATTGGTGAGGACTGACCTCTAGAGTTCAGCTGGAAAAGCCTTTGTCCTGGACTCTAGCTAGACCATTTAAACTTCTGCTGCCTGACTACCTAAGAGCAGTCCAATTGAACTTTCACATCTCATCCTATTAATCTTAAGAATAATTAGAATAAGGCCAAGGCAACAACCATAGCCTCTATCTTCTCATTTCTGTCTCTTCTCCCATAGCCCCACGACCTCACTATTCCTAAGGTACTTGGCTAAACCTAGAGAATGAGCATTTTGGGATTAGGGATTGTCTTGCATATGTCTTATATTGTATATGGAAGAGTCCTTAATATTTGATGAACTTAGTGAAAATTCATTTCCTTAGTTTTAAAAATATTTTTTAAAATTTCAATATAATTTACATACCATAAAATTCACTCAGTGTAAGTGTATAGTTGAAGAATTGTTAATAAACTTACAGAGCTGTGCAACTATCATCACAATCCAGTTTTAGAGTATTTCTAACCCCGCCTAGAAAGTTCCTTTTGGCTCTTTGTAGTCAGCCTCTACTCCCATTTCCCACTCCAGATCTGTTTTCCCACACTGATCTGTTTTCTGTCACTGGTTTTGTCTTGAGAAATTCCAAATTAATGAATTGTATGTAATACATAGTGTTATGTGTTTGGCTTCTTTTACTTAAAATACTTTCGAGGTTCATCCATGTTAGTGCATGTGTTAAGAGTTTATTTCTTTTTAAATGTTGAGTAATCTTTTTATTCATCCCCAGTTGATGGACATTTACACTGTTTTTGAATTTTAGCTACTATGAACAAAGTGATGAATAAAACTTGCCCATACAAGTTTTTGTGTAAACATTTGTTTTAATTCCTTCTGGGTAAATACCTTGGTGTGGAATTACTAGGTAATTTTATGTATGGTAAGTTTATGTTTAACTTTTTAAGAAACTGCAAAACTTTTCCAAATTAGCTTTACCAAAATTCATTCCCACCAGTAGTATTTGAGTGGTTTGGGCTTTGTTTGTTTGTTTTTATCCTCCTCACAAGTATTTGGTATTGTCAGTCTTTAGTTATTCTAATGGTCGTGTAGTAGCTATTCTAATGGTTGTGTAGTAGTATGTGATTGCGGTTTTAATGTGCATCTCCCTAATGACTCATCAAACAACTTTTCATGTGCTCATTCGCTATTTGTGTATCCCTTCTGGTGAAATGTCTTTTCAAATCATTTGCCCATTTTGATAAAAAAATTTTTTTAATTTCTTATTTTTTAAATTTACATCCAAGTTAGCATATGGTGCAACAGTGATTTCAGGAGTAGATTCCTAAATGCCCTTTACCCACTTAGCCCATCCCCCCTCCCATAACCCCTCCAGCAACCCTCTGTTGTTCTCCATGTTTAAGAATCTCTTATGTTTTGTTCTCCCTGTTTTTATATTTTTTTGCTTCCCTTCCCTTATGTTCATCTGTTTTGTATCTTAAAGTCCTCATATGAGTGAAGTCATATGATATTTGTCTGTCTCTGACTAATTTTGCTTAGCATAATACCCTCTAGTTGCATCCATGTAGTTGCAAATGGCAAGATTTCATTCTTTTTGATCACTGAGTAATACTCCTTTGTATATGTATGCCACATCTTCTTTATCCATTCATCTATTGACGGACGTTTGGGCTCTTTCCATATTTTGGCTATTGTTGATAGCGCTGCTATAAACATTGGGGTGCATGTGCCCCTTCGAAACAGCATACCTGTATCCCTTGGATAAATACCTAGTAGTGCAATTGCTGGGTTGTAGGGTAGTTCTATTTTTAATTTTTTGAGGAACCTCCGTACTGTTTTCCAGAGTGGCTGCTTCAGTTTGCATTCCCACGTTTGCCTGTTTTTAAATTGGGTTATTTGTTGTATTATACAGTTGCAAGAGTTCCTCATATACTCTGAATAAAACCTAATTCTAATGCTGTTGAGCATCTTTTCATGTGTTTGCCATTCATGTATTTTTTTTCCTGGTATTTAACTACTAAAATCTTTGCCTATTTTTCTTTTCTTTTTAATTTTTTTAAATGTTTACTTATTTTTGAGGGAGGGAGAGAATGAGAGCACACAAGCAGGGGAGGAGTAGAGAGAGGGGGACAGAGGATCTGAAGTGGGCTCTGTACTGACAGCAGAGAGCCCAATGTGGGGCTTGAACTCAATGGCTGTGAGATCATGACCTGAGCCAAATTCACACGCTTAACTGACTGAACCACCCAGGTGCCCCTTGACCATTTTTAAATTAAGTTGTTTGTCTTATTTTTGAGTTGTAAGAGTTCTTTATAAACTCTGAATAAAAAAGATTTATCTGATGTAGATTTGCACATATTTTTTTCCAGTATGTGGCTTGGCTCTTTCATTTTAATGGTTTTTAACTTT